CTTGAAACTGAATTTAGGATTAAAACAGTACACCGAACATCCACTTCTTTCTCGACACAAATACCTGAAACACTTCAAACTACAACACAGTAATCACTCTTAACACAACACTTTTTAAATTGACCTGTACCTCAGTTATAAAACATACCACTATTCACGACAGGTTGCCACAGACGTCAGAGTCATCCTCTGAGTTTTCCGTAAGCTTTGGCACAGGGAGATCCACGATTTTCATGTCTATCTGTGAATTCTTCCAGTGCCAAGGCGCACAGCTTTTGTACGAGCAGAATGTATCTTCTCGTTGGAAGATCCGTTTCACTTTGGCGTTTCTCAACAGCTCAGACTTCCAGGTTCTAAATAAAAATACAACTGTCTGTTGGAGAATGCTACTTGCCGAAAACGAAACTGCAACTCGACAGCTTCCTTCCTGGAGGTCACACTGCCAGCGGAACAATTACGTTTTTAGCCTGTTCCCTGAGGTCACAGGAAGTGGCGGAGCGTGACTTTCCCAAGTGTTGGCGATGTCCACAGACATTCTGGAAACTGAATATATACGTCGTACTTCATCTTCCATGATAAAGCAAGTCACAACGCGTACAGCAGATCTTACGCAAATCGCGAGAAATGCCATACAGCGAGCTAGGTTAACAAGCCAGCACGCAAGAAAATAGCGTGTTAGCAGCCGAGGTTTGGCTAACTTTTTTGCTTGGACGGTCATTGAACCCCTTCTTCCTTCAAGCTTACTCTCTCTCTCGTGTCTCTTCTAATTGCGCCTGCGCAAACAGACGTAATGTAAGCGTGAATTAGGTGGCTAACACCGCCTGGGATGGCCTGGTTGGAGTTGGTGAAGTAACGATATATTTTATCTGACCGGTTCTGCTATGTACTAGTGTATGGAGTACCACTGAACGACGAACGTAAAACAGAATAATATTTTTTTGGTTTTAAAAGTGTTAGCTGGGCCAACATGGTTAACATGAAATCTCCGCACCTGCTACATACATTAATAAATTATTTCTTCTTTAATTTTGTTAAATATACTTTGAATATAGATAATATTTCAAATAAAATTTTGCAGACCTTTGTGGCATCTGTATGACAACTTCAGCAAGGGGATCCGGTCGATTTAAACCATCCGATTCGGCTCCAGCTTGTCTGTACGGCAGCGGGTCGTTCTCTGACTTCATGCCCATAAGACATCAGGTGTTGACCCTACACTGTTTCTTCATTACTTTCCTTCCACTTTCTTTACTCTTCGCTCGTAAGACCCATAAAAGTATGCGTGTTTACGTTATCAGCGATAATTCAGCTGGCCGTGGATGCCTACGAGGACTCGATTCCCGACGAGGTGATTCCTTTTAATCACCATGTCAATAAAATCTCGTTTACTTTTAAGTCCTTGCATCAATTTTACTTCTTCGAGGAAGAAATAAGAGATTTGACATGATTGTTACCTCTGTTTTTGAAACAATTAAGAAGCTTTAACTCTTTCTTCAAAAGTCGCATTGCCCTCACTGTTACATTGTCACGTGTCTGATTTATGTTTCCTCCTGAAATGGACCCAATCTGCGGAAACCTTGCAAGGGGGCTGTTTATATTCAACACTTCACGTTGATAACTAGACTGGATGAGATTTCTCAAAACGTATTGATGTGATCTGTTATGTTTGTTACACTGAATAGCTGATTTGTCTTCTCTCTTTTGGCTACCTGCCGTTATCAACTCTGTCTGACTGGCGTATTGCGATGTTTATTTCTTAAATTCTCTTGTAAGTGCTTGTAAATTTTAGTAAATACAAAGGAATGTACGTAACAAGGATGGACTTAAAATAACAGTGTTCTTCAAGACAATCGGCAGCGATAGTTCTGTGTATTCTGCGTACATAAATCTGTGCTTTACTTGAAGTGAAACTCACGACAGCTTGTGTTTAGTTGATATGTGGAAATTGCTTCTAAGCACATGGGACATTAATTATTGAAACCAACGTACTTCACCTACAGACATTAATACTGCTAAATTGGAAAATCTGGAGTTGTCAAACGCCACCTTGCTACAACATAAGATCGAAATGTGGCAGTGTTATATCCAAATCAACTGTGTAAAATACATGCATTTTAATTAACTGCATAAATTTGTTTTGCATGATGTTTACATTTGCACTTCGATGAACAGAACGCATCATTTTGCTTACCTGTGATCTATACTTCAGTACACTAAACTTTTGCTGATACGAAATATAACTCCAAGAGCTTTAAACCATTTTCATGTGGACGTAATGCCAATGGTGGAAAACGGTGTGTCACATTTTAATGTTGCAAAATAATAATGTTTCTTAATACTGTACAATCGGTAATTGAAAGGAAACGGTTGCTTTAAGTAATTCAATGAATACGATGACACAACTGTGAATGGTTGTCTGCGTATATCTTTATAATTCATAAAAATCAGTTCAGGCAAAGTGCACTAAGTTACTGGAAAGAGGACAGTAAATTTTTATCAGCTTTAATTGTAGCTTAACCATCTACCAGGCGATAAAATCTTCCGACGTCGTCGATTACAACGGGCATGCGTATTTACTGAAGCGTCAGACAATGAAACATCACCGAAACGTAATTGCGCCGTTATCAATAGCAAGTGCTTCACAACGACTGTCAGAAGGGCAACGAGCTTCACACTATGATAAGCCGGACAGGGCAAATGAGTTGTAGCCATGCGTTACCGAACCGAGTGGGGGCTAAATCAATAGCCTATACTAAGTGAATGTACAGACGATCTCTGACTTGCGACTGCTCGATTTACAACGTTCGACAACTATGACGTTTATATTACGCCACCATTAAACTGTTTTACGACGCACTTGAATTCAAATATCAGCCATCACAATTTTCGATGTGATGTGGTTTGTATCATTTGTAATAAAGTGCTTTTGTAGATCTTCATGACTGATAAAAGGAAAAAAAACTTCGATAGGCGATTTATCTGCTGTAAAAATTTGCACAAAAGAGTTTAAAAATAACAAAGGGTTAATGAATTAACACAAAATTGCAAATCATTTGCTTTGTTATTTTATTAAAATTATATTCCTCACATAGGCCTAATGTACAGCACATTTATATTAATAAATTAGTCTTTAAACATGTCCCTGGAAATAGTTTTTCTGAGGTCTAACATGCAATAAATGATGGCGGCAAAAACAGATAGTTTTGTTTTTCAGACCAAATATGTCTCCAGCCTGAGTTCAGAAACTTAGCCATCAATTATAATACTGAGTCTGTGAGAAAATGGGTTCAGATTTACAACTACGTATTCAATTTAAGATTCCTCCATGAAGTCGTCACGTCATGGAGACAGAGCCCACCGCAATGCAAGTGACTTATGTTCACACTGTACAGCACGCAAAGGGATTTTGATAATATTTTAGCAACAGATCAGATGTTCACAGAGTGTGGTTCGTAAAACATCAGTGATCAGTGGGTTTCATTGATGTGGTACACGGAATAACCGGGACTACAATTATAAGACACATCATAAAAATACTTTAACTTGTGGAGAAGTGCCATGATAGCTGTCGAATAAATTAAAGTACAACATAAAGTTATGTATGATTTGAGGTTTTCACAGCGATGAGTATGAAGATTTCTGTCTTCTGGGTTGTTGTGCCGTGGTAGATGAATCGCCCTGATGACGGAGGCAGTATGACCTCCGAAACATTGGTAAACATCTACCATACTACACGGCGCAACAACCCAGATGACAGAAATCTTCAGTACCATAGTAGCCTCCAGGCTTTTGACACCGTGTGCATTTAATCCCTAAACATACAGGCAGCACGTTCCTCCGAAACTTTGGTGCACACACAAGTCCAAATGACGTCACAACAAAGACCGGTATAAGTCATACTCGCAGGTCTACAGCACCAACTTCTTTATTGTTATCTATAACATTGCTAGCAGGTAGAAAAGTCAAGACCTTGAGAAATTTTTCAAGTGGTCTAAATAGGGGATGGGAATTTATAAATGTATGCACCACTAATAAAAATTAATGCCATCATTCACCATTTAGATGTTGTATCAGGTGTATGGTACACTACCGTATACTTTAAGATTACACACACGTCTTAGTGGCCTTTGTGATAGGTAAGGTAAATTTTATGAAACTTTTTATAGAAATTCGTTTATAGGTCTTCAAGACACCTATATCATTATTTTACACCAGTAAATTTCAATTGTTTTCCTTACCAACCGTCTAATTAGTGAGCAGAAATACGCAATTTCTCCAAGAATCCCACACTGGTTATAATTCTGTAGGATAAAAATGAGGTTTTGATTTTGTGTTGTATTATAAGTCTTGAATGCCATGCGACCGGTATCGTGTCAAAATAATACTGACTGAATATATCTTTCAAACGAAATAAATAAAGCAGCGTGGACTCAAACACATTTTCTGTTAATAACACAAAATACGTCGTGGAATTTACAAATAAAACATGCGGCTTATTTAAGAAAGATCATGTCTGCACATGAGTTCAAGGTTCCAGAATAATTCTTTTAGACCCAAGAAAGAAATTTAATTATTTATCGACACACAATACAATGCAAGAAGTTAGATATCCAAACATGAATGTAATTACTTCAATTTCTCGTGTTTTATCCTAAAAAATATTGTATTTTCTTATTAAAATTAACGTAGTTCTAATTATATCAAGCTGTTACAACCAATGAAACTTGTATATCATTATGGAGTCGAATATGAATATTTATTATAATAATTAATAATAAAAGGGAAAAAATAAATCAGTCTATTTTAAATTCTAGAGAAACACATGCAGCTTTATCTACCCCAAGCGCAATTTTATACATAAGCCAGATCCTGGTAGGCCACAAGAAGCCGCCTTGGGTGGGGGGGAGGGGAAGAAATATAAATTTTAATTAAGAAACGACGTTTATTCAAACATATAAATCGATTCCTACATTCCACTTGAAAGCATAAACAACCAACGATTGTATTATAAATGTTTTAATTATAATGAATTATAATATAGACATTCATATCTGAATACAGGATTCAACAAAACTGTGTTCAACATTTCAATGTTACGTTACAATAAAGCCGTGTTTCTTAAAAAAAACAGAAGGTTTTTGATATTTTTAAGTCTGGAGATCAGTTATTCTTAGAAATGTTTTAATGTACCGGTAGAATCTCTGCATGTTACTTTGCTAAGATTCTAACGGATGAGATGAAGCGAACACCCTTTTTCTGGAGTTAATATCTGTGGGGATAATTCGTTTGTTTCACTGTCTACAGGAATTGTGGACAATGAAACGGAACTTTGAAAGTTAACAGCTGATATCACTGATCATGTAATATGAAATATTTTCGGTTAAAGGGGTTATTCGTTTATGAATTACAAGTATATTGAACTTTTGCAATATAATTCAACCAGTTTTTGAAGGAGTTGTAATTTTATGTGATTGTTGAAGTTTCGTTTCAATAAAATAACAGAATGATAACTCATATTTTGGCAAACTTTACCAAGCAACTGTATTTTAAGCACAATATTTCGAGGGCAGAAATTTAGCCACGTCTCCAAATCACCGTACTTCTCGGGATCAGAAAATAAAATGTATTTAGTGAGATTTCAGGTCCTCGCGGCGACGAGAGTGAAGATGGCTGTCTTCTGGGTTTGTTACGCTGTGTAGTGTGGTGGAAGTTTACAGACGTTTCATAAGTTCTTGCTGCCTCTATTTTCAGAACGATGGTGCACCCTGATGACGTGAGGAAGAAAGCGCCTCTGAAACGTCGGTAAAACTGTACCAGACCGTACGGCGCGACAACCCAGAAGACAGCCATCTTAAAAATATATGGTAAATCCTTTACCTTGACTAACAATATAGAATCCCTCGGTCAGTTAAATGATACTCAAGCTGGCATTTGAAACATGACGGAACCTTGTTAATTGTCAACTTATACGTTGTAACGTTGTCTGCAATTCTGTAATATACACTTACACGTACATAATTCCAATAAAATACACATAATGAAGTTACTGCAAAACATCTAGTCCACATTCTTTGCGCTGAAGAAATATAAATTTTCTTTCACACATTTCGTACATATTACTTCACTAGATTTTGACTCATATATCCAAGTCTTTGATTCTGATGAACGAAACAAAGTGTCTTTAATGACAGCAATGTTAAAATTTGATGGCCGATAAAAACCAGAGATCCGAGTAAACAATGTGCACAGAGCGACCTTCTGCACAGAACAGCGGGTGTTTAGCTGCATCTTAAGATAGTGCATTCTTCTAGACAGATTTTCATCGATAAGAAATATCAGTCAAAATGTAGTTCCAGTTTAGTCAAAGAATCCAAAAACACACCACACAATTTTAACGATTGTCCTCTTCCAAATGTCCCAGACACGAAACTTAACGAAGTTCACGGTGGCTTGACCACAGCTGTGACGCCCTTCCGAAGACGAACAGCAGAATTTTACACAAAATTAAGTATTTAAAACACTCAGATGTGGAGACTGTTGCCTGTTGCATGTGTCATTAATTGCTGTAAACCGGTTGCAGGAAAGAAATTCACAGGTTATTTACACAACTAGGCAAAACTTTATCTTCTCATGACGACGAATATGAAACTGGCTGTCATCTGGGATATTTACCGTGTAGTGCGCAGTCTGACTGAACGACGTTTCACAGTTATCAGGGTATTCACCCTGATAATGGTAGAAGTAAACTCCTATGAAACTTTCAATATATGCGATCGTAAATGGTGCAATATCCCAGGAGACAGCCATCTTCATACATACACACACGTTCGAAATCTCATCCAGTACTATGAAAGTAGTTCAAACTTAAGTAAAAAACCATACAATGAGTCTTAAGGTATATATCAATCATTGCGCAGATTGCACTTGAACATAACTTAGATTTTTAAGAAGAGATCTGTCCCATGTCGCTTTAAGCACTCTAGAAATTTAGAGCAAGAAACATTTTCGTCGCAACCACTGGAGGCTCCAGGTCACCGTCGCTCAGCCGTGCCACTGTGGATGGCACCGAGGAACCACGGGCTTGTTCCTTACCCCGTGAATTCTTCCAGTGCCATTCTCAGAGGTCGGAATTTCAAAGTCTTCCGTCAAGTTCGTCCGATGAGCTGAGGTGCTGAGAAGCAACTGGAGTGCAGGCAGTCGCGGTTGAGGCTGTTGATCTCCAAAGTGCAAGAAGGAGTTGGGTGGGGGGAGGGGAGCAAAATGAACAGTGAACCGGGGATGTGCTTGGCTGCGCATAAACGCGAAGAGCAAGGTGGAAAGACAAGAAATTGAAGAGGACAAGATAAAATAACAACTTGAGTTATAGATATAGGCCCAATTCAGATGAATACTCTTTTCGCAGGTACCTTAAATTGTTGTTCTTGACACTGCTTCGACATTTCAGGCGTCACTCAAAATCCACAGCAACAAACATAAATAAATAATTGTTTTATGGGCGAATAGACAATACACACTTTATGTCCAGTAATACAAAGTTCTGAAGGTGCTAAAATCTATATGACATTTCAAAGTCTGCATACTTTTCACTTCGATTTCAACACTGATTTAATATTTATTATTCCAATTATTAACCTGCGTCTACCTCCTTTCAAATTTCAACACTAAAGTTCATTCAGATCAAGGAACCGATTTAATGTACTGGATCTAAATGTGAAGTTAATTGCAATAAGAGTTAAAAATTCGTTAACAGCTGTATAAATTACATATAGTTCTTAAGACTAGATTAAAATTCTAGAAAAAATTCAGTATTGATACAAAAACTATCACGAAGCACGAATGGTTTTATCGGTTACAGGACAAGAGTCTGTGAGGACTTTCGCAGAACGAATTTTGAGGTTATTGTCATATTTTAAGGCGTTTAGGCCATATTCTATAGTAGCCATTAGGACAAGCTCTCAAAATTAAAAGTTTATCTTATTTAAAAATTTAGAATCGAAAACCACTGAATCACAGACCTTTTGTCTCACACTAAAGCTGTTATTACGATGGGTCTATTTTACATGATTACAAGAGTACAAAAATATTTACAGAATCATTCCGTACTTTTAGGAAAGAAGCAGGAATTTGTCGTAAAGTGAAACTCTCTTACTGTATTTATGTATAAAATGGTATATCGATTAACTAGGTGCAATACAGAAGGAATGCAAACAATTTTTGAGAGCCCTTATTTTTACTTACGAAGCTGATGGTAACAACAAGAGATCATAATCAATAAATTGTTTGCTGTTTTAAGAATTAGAGAAATGAGGAAAACCATGACCTATGGGGTTCAATGGACTCTCCTCCCCCAATAAAGGTGATCAATGGCTAATTTTCGTTTACTGTCAATCCATAAAAGTACGGTTATTTCTAAATTATCTTTTTATTCTTAATTCGCTATTACGTAATTGTTTATAACAAGTGAAAAAAGAGAAATTGGCCTATGGCACAAAAGAATTGCAAGAAATTAAATGTTATTCCGTGATTTTAATTCTTCACGTTCGTTGAAAATTGCGTGTGGTGTGCAAATTTTATAATGTATTTCCCGCCAGAAACCAAGTTGTGAAGAAACATACGAAAACAATGAATTAAAATGGCATTACAGTATGAAGCAGCTTGTCTTCTGTTTATTAACAATGGGAAATAAATGTTAAAACAAAGGAAAAGTAGAATGACACGAAAGAAATAAAAGAAAACATTTTATAGAATGAAGGAATGAAATTAAAAGTGACATAAAGAAATGACGTAAAGTAATATTTCAGGTTCTCATGGCGTAGCGTAAGAAGAAGACTGCCCTCTGGGATGTTGCGTTGTGTAATCTGGCATAAACTGACCGACGTTTCAGATGTGCGTACTGATTCCATTATCCGGGGGACACTCATCTTCAAAGAAACTAAAGGCAAAAAGACATGACGAAGAAGATGATTTTATTTGTGGTGATAGCCGTGGACAAAAGAATGGCGAGTGAGAGAAGTAGGACGTTGATGTAGCCGGTGAGGGGAAGTGTATAAAACACTCGAGGGAATTAAAAAATAATTCAGATTGCAAGAGGCGTGGAGCAGTCACACACGGGCGGTGTTCCGTAGAGCAATATTACCACGGGTCGGTGGTAGCGAGTGAGCTATGTTTGGGGCAAAATTGCTGTATCTGACGTAGATGTTCGCGACAAGGAGGTGTCATTGACCGTAACTAACAGCGAGCATGATTCGCTACTATTCCTACGTACCTACCAAGAAACAATACCATCTTCAGATATTCACCGTGGGTTTTCTATGCCACCGTCTTCATGCTGTCTTCCCTTGTAGGGCATTTTAAAATCCAATCTTACTTCTCACTTTCACCGTAAAGTATTGACGAGGAAATGAAGTTAAACTTCTCCATGCTCAAACGTCATGTCTACTTTTAAAGCACTACCTCTGATTGGCTGAAATCGGAACAATGACTCAAGTAACGGAAACTGTTTTTAGCTTTTCAGAAACAAGAATTAACAAAGGCTTGATTAAAATGAACAGCATGGATAGGGCATATTAAGAAGATACCTATTTTATTTTGTACTTCGAAGGAAAATTTCTATGGATGAGGCCTAATTAGTTTACATGAACTGGCAAAAGACGATAATTTATATTTTTACTTAAAAGGTAATAATGGAACATATTAAATTTTATTTAGACAATCAAAATGTTTATATTAAATTAAATTCATTCTCTTACAGCCAAGAAACCCAGTGTAGTTAGTAACTCACTTCAGTAATTTTCAATATTTTCAGAACATACCATAACGAATCATGAATACCAAAGTAAATCAAAATTCTTTCTTTTTACCATATCGGTTCTAAGGAAGACACGACCTTTTTTCAAACAAAAATCTATATATCACGTAAAGGAAAAACGTTATCAGTAACTTTATTTTGGTACATGTGGTCACAAACTCTTTTAAATAGGGCAGAATCCTGAGTTAGTAGCTAATTATCGTAACATAATTAATTCAAAATGACCTGATATTATTAATTCCTGTCGAAAGGAATATATTAATGTATATGTTGGAAACAATAATAAGGCTTTAAACTAAGTTCATTATGGAAGTTATTATACTACCCTAAACATAAGAAAATAGGCTAACATTTATTTACTCAAGAAGCTGTGATAGCCACCAGTAAGATAAACAGATATGGCAGTTTTGTTGACACGAAACAAACAAACAAACAAATCCACTAATTGAATCTTGAAGAGTGATATGGGAAGGATTCAGAAGGAAGCGACATTCGTATATTTGAAAGAATAATACAGGCCTTCTTCAGGGAGAACTGAAAGAACACATAAAATCTGTGACACGTAAAATTGTCCATCGTCTTTACACCAAACTCAAGTGTTTCGATAGCTGAATTAGTATTACATCTTCATGTAGAAATGGGGGGGGGGGGAGACGCTTAGGTGTGAAATTAGCTCAACCAGCTGACTCAACAAATTAGATGACGGACAAAGTCAAGAAGAGTAATTTGATATATTATAAATCACTATTGTCAGAAACCTTTATACTTCGACATTAAACTTGTGTTAAACTACACAGTTACCCTGGTACAAGTTTCATATGGCACCTGCCGAATACCACTCAGACTCTTTGCCTCTGAGCTAACCTGCTTGATAACAATTACGAGAATGCAAGAGGGAACGACAAAACAAATGATTCACGGAAAAGTCAGAAATCAAACTTGGCCAGACAGAACCGAACCGGTTTCCAGTGAGCACGAAGGATGTTCATGCAGTGACGTTCTAGACCGGTTTGAACTTCGATCGCATTATTCTCTCAGGTTCCAGTGTTTTCCTCAGTCTCTTAAGGCGAATGCCATGATGGTATCCTGAAGCACGCAGCGACCACCTCCATTCAAATTTAAAAAAAAAAATCTTCCCGTCGTGTTTGATGTAGTATATTTAGTTCCTATAGCTGTTAAATTGTTTATGAATCACTGGGACAACTAATTAATACCGGGAAAAACTGCAATTGGATAATAGTAACAGCAGCTGCAGTAGTAAGCAATTAATTATCTGAAGATTTCTAAGCAATTAATTATCTGAAGATTTCTGTGTTCTGGGTTGTTGCGCCGTGTAGTCTGGTCGATGTTTACCTACGTTTCAGAGGTCCTTGCTGCCTCCAACATCAGGGCGATTCATTCGAAGTAATGCACAACTAGAGTGAATACAATAAAACGAGAACTTAAATCGTGCCAGTGAAAACGTATGCTAAGCTTCTGTCTTAAAATCCTCGTAATTAACGTCACAGACGGACAACTTCGGTAAGCAGTTACCAACTCGGACTTAAAGTGGACATATCTTTCTTTTGGAGCTCAGAATGTGAGGAACCTCCACTGCCTCAACACGTATCTACCAGATAAGAAAATGAAGGTCATGTCTTACAATAACAATAGTTTCAAGTTTGGTTCTACGCGAATAGTTTTTGTGACGACGGTCAGACAGTAAAACTTACCAACCACATTCAAAGACTGCCAATTTATCACCGTTGAAATGAA